ACGTACCCGGGTCCGGAACCCGTTATCGAACGCTTCCATGGCTTCCATAAAACGATTCGAACGCGTTTCGTCCTAACCGCGTGTGCCCCTTTCGAAAATTCGAATACAGAATCCGGACGTTGGAACTGATGTTGTTGCATTTGAGGGTTTAGGGGCACCAACTTTTGGCTCATCTTGCATTGAAAGGCGCGTTTTCTTGGGTGGGTATGATATAAATAAAATACAACACGGTGTATTCCGCATCGCCCTCGGTCCCGGCCCTCCCGCGAGTCGGATCGCCCTCCGGCCTGCGGCGGTCGGGCCGATACCTCGGGCGATACGGAATACCCCGTGTTGTATTCTATATGTACAGCTAGGTGAGTACAGTACAGTACTGTACATGTGTGTATGGTCAGGACAGGTAGGCCAGTCTCCTGTACTGTTCTGTACAGCTAGGTGAGCACAGTACAGTACTGTACATGTGTGTATGGTCAGGACAGGTAGGCCAGTCTCCTGTACTGTTCTGTACAGCTAGGTGAGCACAGTACAGTACTGTACATGTGTGTAAGGTCAGGACAGGTAGGCCAGTCTCCTGTAGTGTTCTGCACAGCTAGGTGAGTACAGGACTGTACATGTGTGTGTGGTACCCCCCGGTCAGGACAGGTAGGCCAGTCTCCTGTACTGTTCTGTACAGCTACATGTAGGTGAGTACAGTACAGTACAGTACTGTACATGTGTGTATGGTCAGGACAGCTAGGCCAGTCTCCTGTACTGTTCTGTACAGCTAGGTGAGTACAGTACAGGTAGGCCAGTCTCCTGTAGTGTTCTGTACAGCTAGGTGAGTACAGTACAGAACTGTACATGTGTGTATGGTCAGGACAGGTAGGCCAGTCTCCTGTAGTGTTCTGTACAGCTAGGTGAGCACAGTACAGTACTGTACATGTGTGTATGGTCAGGACAGGTAGGCCAGTCTCCTGTAGTGTGGGTACACCTCTGTGTCGGGCACATGTAGAGAGAACTCCAGGGCCACCAGCACAGGGAACTCAAACGCTATCAGGTCCTTCCTGTTCAGCCGGAATGTGTCCTCAATTTCCTGCATGGAACAATATGGAAACACCTAACTGTAATTAATGCATCTCAAGCTCCCTCTATACATTTTTACATGTAGTTTGCAACAGATACAATGAAGGCAGTTTTCACAACATAAAAATAGACTTTTCCACAGTAATCCATAGTATCTGATTTGACTTCAGGATACCTATAAAAATGTTCCATTGTCTTTCTTGTTCAAGAAAACATGTCATAGTCAGAATGGCATACATACAATTAATGAAATACTACATGTAGTACATGTATGTATGATCATTCACAGAAATAGTCACAATACCAGCAGCCACAAAGACAATTCCGGGTTCAATTCCGAGTCGTACCCGAACAAGTCCGAACATGCGCCCCGACGTTGTACCCTTGGGAAAGGTACTTTACACGACTTTCCTCACTTGACTCAGGTGAAAATGAGTACCTAGCTTCGGCTAGGGACGTCCCTCGGATAGAACGTTAAATGGAGGTCCCGTGTTTGGGAGAGCCACACCCCACGCACGTTAAAAAACCCACCTCACTTATCGAAAAGAGTGTGAGTGGTTCAAACCTTACAGTCTGGTCTCAGGTTTGACATCTTTGAAAAGGTGATAGTCACCTGTTACGTCAATCCTTCCACAAATGTGGTAAATCGTCATAAAAAATAAAATAAAAACATAAACAGTATAGTCAGTGTTCTTACCTCTAATAACTTCCCCAGTTGTGCCTTTTTTGTGTCATTCAGCTTTGCTGCCAGCAGCAAGCAAGCACCTATATTAAATGAAAACATACATTGTACATGTAGTTGATATAGTCCACAGTTTGTACTTCATATTACACTCAAACCTTTGACAGATTGTATCCTACGTAGGAAAAAAATTATGATCAAATTTGATAAAGAAGTGACCTACCCGCACAGTATTTTCTGTTCTGCTTGTTAATCTTTCCCTGTAAACATAAATAACAATGTCAGTTCATATAAAGTAAAACCATGCAACTGAATCTCATCATATTCAGATTATAATTATAATGCACTTGGCTGGGATCACATTTTAAAGAGCCTATATCTAAGAACATAGAGTTGAACTTACCTGTAAGACTAACTTCTCAAAGTAGACGTATGCCTGAGCAACAGTCACTTCCTCCATTCGGCACTTAAAAGAAATTTAAGGAGGAAGACCAACATATCAAAGTGATGTAATTCACTTTATGTTTGCAGCAGCAAAAGTTCATGGTCCGAGAAAAATGGACATGTTCACAGAACTATGCGTTCACGGCGGTGGCAATTGCAGAAAAAAGAAAGCTGGCAAATTATTTGTTAACGGGAATGAGAATTTAGCGGTACAGAATTGACAGTGCTAAAAAAGTACTAAAAAATTGGGAATTACAGTAGTACATGCAATAAGTAGTGATAGATTAAAAACATTCACACTAACTTAAGCTTCGGTCCCAATTGCGCCGGTGCCCATCGGGGATGTAGCCCCGGCCGGTCCCGCCCGGGCTATGGAGTCGGGCGGGCACCGGCTGTCGTGGTCACAATTAAAAGTTTCCTTCAGTAGCAATTTGTTAAAAATTTTGTCACTCTCTTTGGTCGGACTCCGGCAGGCACCCGGCAGATTCTCTGATGATGTCTTGTACTAACCTATACGTAATGCAGAATTCACGCTTTTGTTATGATCATTTGATCTGTGACGTCACACTTTTTACCCGGTTTTACGAAGTATACACCTTTATTCTGTGTTTATCTGGTCTGTGACGTAACAAATGTGTCCCGGTGGACTGCCGGCAACCGGAGGGGTACCTGTCGGTGTTCTCACGGGTTGGTCACGGCGTCTTTTTGTCAGCAGGGCACGGGTATACGTAGAATTTAAGTCAGAATTAAGTTCTTTTCGGGTCCCCGCCGGGCCGAAAAATAGCCCGGTGGCCGCAGGGTGTCCCGCGGGGCCACGTAGGGGTCACGCCCGAAAGTGCCATAAAACAGCCTGGGAACTACCTGGCAGGGCCCATTTTTTCAATTGGGACCGAAGCATTATGCATCAAGTACATGTACATGTACTCACATCATCCACTGCTATCTTCTTCATTTCTCTCTTCAAACTGAAACACATGGGAAAATAGACAACCAAAAAATGAAACATTTAACCAGTTTTGCAAAGAGTCACAGATCTGCAAACTATTTTTGCCTGAATAATCGGTTCCATACATACCTCCTCAGCTTACTGAGTGTGAGCCGGATGTGTGGAAACCGTTCTTTAAACATCTCATTCAAGTCCTTCTTCAGTTCCGAGGGTTTGGCATAGTCAATTATTGTTGTCTGTGAGGGAAAGATTACAATATACAATCATGTATAATTTTATGTTATAGTATACAGAAATCAAGAAAAACTACTCATTTTTGCAAAAATGTTACAATGGTGTGGACTTTGGTTTAAAATCCTCTTTATTACATTGTACATATACAATATGAAAGCTCTCTTGGGTAAAGCCTAGGTCAGCCCTTTGTCTCTTCCTATACTAAGAGGAGGGCACAAAGCAAGTAAGACAAAATGTTAAAAGTTACAACATGCATCAGACATTTTCGTGTTTCAATTTAAAATCATTTTTACACATAAATTACAAGTACATTCTTTGGCCCAGACTCGACAGGGAGAGGGTTCGAATCCTGCCCGATGCCACCGATCTTGTGCCCTTGAGAAAGACACTTTACACGACTTTCCTCACTTCACTCAGGTGTAAATGAGTACCTAGCTTCAGCTAGGGACGTCCCTCGGATAGCACATTAAATGGAGGTCCCGTGTTTGGGAGAGCCACACCCCATGCACGTTAAAGAACCCACCGCACTTATCGAAAAGAGTAGGGGACCTTCCCGGTGTGAGTGGTTCAAACGTTACAGTCTGGTTTCGGGGCTGACATCTTTAAAGAGGTGATAGTCACCTGTTATGTGAGTTCTTCCACAAATGTGGTAAATCGTCATATAATAGAATAAAAATTTGCAAGTTACCATATAGCAGGGCAGGTTGAGCACAGTTCTGTGTTTACCAGACCTCCACTCTGGGTCATCCAGCAGGTAAGGGTCATACTTGGGCAGCAGGGGAACTGTCGGTTCTTCTGATGATCCTGGAAAAACAGAAGGATTCACGACATTTCTCAGGAAAATAAAGCTTCCTGTAAAATTGAAGTTTGAAATCTCCTATCCATTTTGTACCTCTAAAATGATAAGATAAAATGGGCCACTCCAGGGGTACTGTAGCAGGACAGTGTAACAAATGCACACTGCTATCCAACAGCCAAGACTATGAAATCTTGTACTGTACATTCAGGTACGTTCTTTTCCTTTTTGTTTTAAAGCTTCCAGCAGCCATTTCTAGAGTCAAAGCTATATGAAGGCCTGCAAGGGGGGTCCCCACTACGCTCTACGCTGAATTCGGAAACCTCTCGATTACGCTTTACGATAAATACCAAGTGGCTACAACGCATTACGTAGAATTAAAACGCTGATGAATACGCTCTACGCAAAAATATTAGAGCGGTCCGTCTACGCTCTACGTAGAATTAAAAAGGCCGATTACGCTCTACGGAAAAGGGCTTGCGGGCCCCCTATATTAGTTCCCAAGTTTTCATCCTATTTGCAAAGCCTGTTTTGTGGAGAGGAGGACTGGGGAGATACATGTACATGTAAGATAGGTTTGGCAACCAGGCTACTGAATCCTTGCAGTGAGTAAGGGATGCTCTAGAAATGGCTGCTGGGAGCTTTAAAACAAAAAGGAAAAAAAACGTACCTGAATGTACAGTACAAGATTTCATAGTCTTGGCTGTTGGATAGCAGTGTGCATTTGTTACACTGTCCTGCTACAGTAGTGGCCCACTTTAAAGTCTTCAGACTACGGTGGTTGTAGATAGATACATACCTTGGACTCGTAAAAGATGTGCAGGGTCGTAGGACACTGTGCGCAGGTAGGTCTGTGATTGGGTGGCCGCTGATGGACCCAGTCCATCTAGGGATTTTCTCTTCTCCATAGAGCGGGTGGGCACCAGGAAGTGTGCGTAGGACACCGTCTGGAAAACACACATATTTAGGAACTGTGTGTCACTGGAACCCAATTCATGTTTAGTAGTTTTCTTTATTTATTATGTTTACCAAAGAAAAACGTGTGGCCTAATCTTGCTACAAAGCATCTCTGATTGGTCATCATTGCTGTTATGCTAATGAAGTATCTATCCAAACCTTCCCATCATCCCCCAGCTCGACCCCCTCCAGCTGTGCCATGACGCTGGTGTCCGTCATGAAGGACAGGGGACGTCCTCCCGAGGGGTGACGCTGCCTCCGACCCTCCGGTACACTGAAACACAACACCGGCTGGTTACTTCATTCCCACTACATTTTGTACTAGTCAGTCAGTCAGACTTCATTCCCAGACAGTTATAAATACACACACATGTAAACGATTCACGTCCCACTGCTGGTGTTGCCTTTTTAGGTATCCAATGTGTGTTGTTAAGACTTGTAAGTCCAGACCTAAACCCAGGGCATATACAAAATATGGAAGGGACTTCTCAGTGTACATTTCCCAATGGAAAATGGGGCATCTTTTCTGCAACATTTTGTAGCGAGCACTGCACTACAAGGGTTTAGAAGCAAGATATGTTGTTTGTGGGACACGTCTGGGCAATACTATGGCCCATACATTATTTATGGAGGCTGATACTTGATGCATGACTAGTTCTAGACGTTCAGTTTTTTTTTGGACTTGAACCTAAACATTTTTACATGTCCAGAACTAGTTCCGGCAAACCGGTACACAGCACTATATATACTAGTCTCCACCAGACTCCTTAAATAGTAGAAATCAGCTAAGGGGTCCAGCTAGACCCTCTATGGCCAGCCAACTCCCGCTTAGCCGATTTCTACTATTTATTCAGCCTGCAAAGGAGTCTGGTGGAGACTATTTATATATACAACACACAAACACACAAGTTTGGTAGCAATGGATTGCCACAATTTTGGCTGGAACTGTGAGTAAGGAACAGGAATATTACCTGACATATCCATGCTGGCTGATACGACTGTAGGGTACCAGGGACACCACTGCATACGGAACCTTATGGCCTGATACCAACACCAGTCTGGTAAGGAAACAAGAAAACCATTTCAGAAAAAGAATTTAAAAAACTGTTACAACAGCCTTACTGTATATACATTTTATAAGCATCAAGAGGCTTAGCACAATGTCCTAAGCTCCTTGGTAAACTTTGATAACAATCAATCAATCAACTTTATTGCTCAACAACTGTAGCTGGTACAATGTATGGCAAAGCAACAACATTGCTGCTGACTATACATGTATATGACTTGAAGGCGCACTAAATTTAAACCAGCTTTCGTCAGTGACACTGGAGACTTTTCAGAAACAGCAGGTTTATAAGCACGAACTATTGTTTGATATGCAAATAAGTGAAGACAAATTTTTTTTGAAGTCCAAAAGGAAACAAAAGTTAGACTAGTGAAGACAAGGACGATGCAAACTTTCTGACAAAAGTCTCCAGTGTCACTGACAAAAGGTGGTGGAGACTATATTGCTACCTGAAATGTCTGACTGCTTCCAAAATCATATCCAATTGCTTGAGTAACTGTTTTTTGGCTTAGGCCAAAGCAAGTAATTTTTATGGATGACATCAGCGCGCATTAATTTTCGCCTGATTTTGGAAAAAAAACAAGAAATTTTGTTGCCTTCTGACAGTGGTCAACATGCCGAAAATGGGCAAAGATGTCTGTTACCATGCCGGAAGGAGGATGGCAGATATCTATGAAGGGAGGAGACAAGATCGAGGAGAAAAGGCTCTGATTTAATGTTTTGTTTCTTACTTTGATGCAGTGATATGTGAAGCTTGCTGTGTATATATGATGTTCCTAATGAATCAAAACCCATTTGTACAATGATTGAGTCCAAATTTTAAATTGTAGGGACCTTTTTTTTTTCGGCCCGCCTTTTTTTTTTGCCCGCTCGCATTAGATTTGGAATCTGCAGAGGATGTCATCCATAAAATTTACTTGCTGTGGCCTTATCTTATTACCTGGATGTGTAAACTTCACCAATGTTTTCCTACCTTCCTTTGCGAAAGCCCCTCTCCCTCAGAGTCCTCAAAAAGTGGACCTTCTGTGGTTGGACGATCTCAGCCGACTCGGACATGGACAGGCTCCGGTGAACTCTGACCTTCTTGTCCCGCGGGGGAGTGTCCCTCGGACTGCTGAGGGAGTTCTGTCGGACCAGTCCACGTCGCGGAGAGGGGTGCCCTTCACCGGGGCTGTACGTATTGGCTCTGAAAATAACAAGTACGCAACTTAATTAGTAACAATCATTGATAGTAACTTTTAAAAGTCTGTCTGCACAGCTAGTACCCAAAATAATTGATGAGGTTGTATTCTGAGAGTTAAAAGTGTAGATTTCATTAAAATGACAGTCCACAATGAAAATCTGACCACAAAAAACAAAAGGCAAAGTTTAACTTAATTTATAGAAAAAGTAGAAATCACGTTAACACACAACCAAGCAGCCAGATTCTCGATTAACACCATCATTAAAGCGATATTATGCAAGATTTTTGCGCCAAAACTGTAAATATCAATAATTGAAATTTTCTCATCTAGATTGTCATTTAAAATTTCTTTCAACATATTAGCGTCGATATTTCGCTTTTCCAGCGACTCATCGCAGCGCGAGAATAAGTTGCGCCAGGCCCGCTTTATTTTTTGGAGGCTCCTTAAAAGAACGTAAACAAATAGTGGTTTTAGTTCGGGTATCTTTGGCAGCTTTCAACACGTTTTTGCGGCACAGCGACGTTGATCTTTTACTCCCCAAATGTCATTATGAACCCATGTAATGAAAGAAAATGTGTAGAACGTACAACAATGTTTAAGATAGTGAAAATCTTACATAATATCACTTTAAGAAGGGGGTACTAGTACGTGTCACAGATTATATGAAAGCAGATTTACAGTGGAAGCAGCTTGAAGAGGGAGGAAAGCTGTCCAGGCTGTGCATGATGTACAACATGACAAACTAGCCTGTAGTTGTACCAGTCGGTGAGCACCTTAGGCCAGCTCAAAAAAGAAAAGTTCAGAACAGAAAGAAAAGTTCAGAACAGAAAGAAAATTCAGAATAGAAAGAGTTTACAGACTACAAGTATTGGCTTAAAAGCCAATAGACTATCACAAATATATGATACTGACCTCTTCAGTAAATACATGTACATGTAGCTTCACCGACATTATATCTCTAGCTTCAAACAGCAGTTAGACTTAGAGTTAGGTGCCTGCATGCAAAGCTGGTGACACCAATCACAGTTATACTGATACAGAATCTAACACTTATATGTTGTATTGACGGCTTGTTTTCAAAAGACAAGCTTCGTCATGGTTTAGTACTATTTACATGCATGTGAAGTTAGCTATAGGATGCTAGTGTGATGTGCACTTATATATGTAATGTTACAGTTATGTACTATTAAATGACAGCTAAAGAAAATTATCACCTTGTCCTTGGACTTGTGTTTTCCTGTTGCACGTGTGTATTTGCCGGGATGTCCACAGTGATGGGCTCCTCTCGAATGTTTGCCCATTCTTCAGACTGACCTCTGTGTGCATCTGCAAAAAGGAGTCCTATTTTTATGGGGGCCCGCATGGCCTTTTCCATAGAGCGTAATTGGCCGTTTTAATTCTATGTAGAGCGTAGACAGACTGCTAAAATTCAACGTAGAGCGTGGTGCATTTTGCGAGAGTAATTCGCCATTTTGATTCTACCTAATACCTATCCGGAATATTAATTTATTGTAAAACGTAATGGGGAGGCTTCCTAAACTCAACATAACACGTAGCCGGCTCTTTTAAAATAAAAGTTAGCGTAGAGCATTGTCTGGACCCCCATGCAGACCCTCTTTTATGTAACTTGCACGTGTACCATCTCTACCCAAGTGGCAAAGAACCTGGGGGTCCTCCAAATAATTTGCGTTTTGGAAAAAAAATTACAGTTGTCTTCATTGTATATACTTGACTATTTGTCCATTTTCTATTGGTCAAAGAGATAGGTTGACCACAAACCTTGTCCATGCCCCAGATCACGATGACCGTCTACAGTGTCCAGTTGCCCCTCCCCCTCCGTTGCAGAAGTGGAGTGGACAGTGGCGGCTGTCTGCAGCCCTCCAAGACTCGCCACCGACTCATTTCGACCAGGAACGGGTTCTTCAAACGACCCGTCCAGCGGAATGTTTGACAGAAAGTTCTTAGCGGCTGTACGCCGCCATGACGCAGCTCTTTTTCTGGACGCTTTGGCCGTCCCCCTCCCAGGTCGGGAGGCGGCCATATTTTTCCGCCAATGACCTGTAATTTACAGAAAAACCGCAAGAGGCCATTGTATATATTTGATTGACTTTTGGCCTGAGCCACTTGTACTGCTTTCTACGTATATTGTACAAAACAGGTGGCAATATCTTGTATTAGAATTCTAACATCGAGTTTATGTTTCCAAAAATTTAAAGACATGTTGTTTTTCATAGAATGGAGTCATAATCACAAAAAACATCCCTATTTCAAAGTGGTACGTCTGAGCATGACGTCATGACGAGGCAATCGTCCACACAAACAAGATGGCGGGAAGTCCAAGGGTCAGCACACAGCTGTGACGTTTTATGAACGATTCTAGCATTTTGGGGCCTCTTGGCTGCTCACACATAAGCCCTTACGAAGCACCAGTAAGTCTTCTGTGTAAGGAAGACTTTCTTGACGTCTCTAGTTCGAGGTGAGTGGGGTTTTCTTGTGGTGGAATCTACAAGAACATGAGTCTTGCTAGCAGTTGTCCTTTCACTTTTGTACTTCAAGCAAGGAGGTTCTTTGCTTCAAGAGAGAAAGGAATCAGTCAAGAAACTTCAATGCATTTCTCCTAAATGATAAGATTTGCTACCATGTATTACATCCTACATACATCAGTTCTGTGAGGATGTGTGTGTGTTGCAAGTTGTGAAAAATATATCCGAACTAGACAACCTTCCTAGACCATATGTAGTAGTATGTAGCCTGGGTGCCAGACTTTTGCCAGGGTGAGTATACATGTACACTATGTAAATTTATACAGGCTAGCTCCAGGTCAGAAAACAGTCTGGCACCCAGGCTATGGAGAGATGGAGCCCAAGGAAAGAGTCAAGAACAAAGCAACTAGCTTCTTGTATTGTATGCATCATGAAACGTCTGAAACGTGCATGATGAAGGAAGTTGTACATGACTGCATGTCTATATGGGCGTCTGCAAGGGCGGGTCCCGACAACGCTCTACGCTGAATTCGGAAACTTCGCGATTACGCTTTATGATAAATTCCAAGTGGCTACAATGCATTACGTAGATTAAAATGGTGAATACGCTCTACGCAAACTGGCCAATTACGCTCTACGTTGAATTAGAGCGGTACGTCTAGACTCTACGTAGAATTAAAACGGCTGATTACACTCCACGGAAAAGGGCTTGCGCCTTGCGGGCCCCCCTATATGTGACTACATGTACAATGTGTTTGTTTCTTAGTGTACCATCAGCAATGATATTACTTAGAGTTTGGTTCTCACCGGGATTTTTCACAGCACAGGGGTCAGGTATACACATGTAACTTTGAAACTTTATTCACACACCTTCTTCCAGACAATAAGTCTGAATTGACAGGCATTTACAATGAAATAGATTAAAAAACGCTAAGGAGTTAGAATAGACAATCAACCAAATTCGGTTTAAAATCAATAAATATAAGTGTGATAAAACTTGTATAGTCTTCTATATATAATACAATTCATGAGGTCACGTCGGTATTTACAGATTGTCAGTTAAAGTGTTTGTTCAGCAAGACTTTATATGTCCCATGTATAGAAGGGCAACTTTCATGGCGCAAGTCGTGCATTGAGTCCCAAGCACATGACCACAGCAGGAGTGTCTGTTACGAGTTCTTCCTGAAAAATTTTGAAACTCACATTCAACAGTAACGCAGACGGTGATACTGTTGAGGTACAACTACAAAGATTTCATCAAGCTATTTCTTGCTGATTGAAAGACAGATTTTGTTAAGTTTAGGTTTTCCCTTTGCTATAGCTAAAGTTATAGTTTCATTTTTTGCAAGATTTACAAATGTATGATGGTTCACCCCTATGCTGGTTGAAAGACACCATAGGGGATCCAAATCACAGCATAGGGGACCCCTATGCTCAAAAGGCCTGGCGAGATTTCTTTATTTTTTATTACTACTGTACCAATCTGTATCTGTATAGGCAGTATAACCGCCTTTTGGCGTAACACACCAGCTTCGCAGGCATGCGGTGCGGCGGCAGCTGGCTATATTATACCGATCGACTTGTTACACCTAACCCTTGAACTTCTAGACATCGTTTAAAGCTATCTATTGACAATGCCCCTACTGTACTTGGTGACAGTGACTTCCACTCTGCGATAGTTCTAGGAAATAATGAATTCTTGAACACCTCAATCCTTGGTTGATAACTCTGGTACTTGAAGGCACGGCTATTTCTTGTTCTCTTCTGGGCTGGTATTAGGTACTTAGTAGTTGGGACGTCCACCAGTTTAATTGTCATTTTGTACATCATGCATAGTCTGGACATGCATGATGTCTTCTAATCATCACCTTTCTCACCTCATAACATTAATACATAAGATGTAGTGAATTCCGTGCTGTACCTCTGCAGGTTTTGATCAACTGGAGTCCACATGGCACCCAGAAGGACGACATCAAGGAACACAAGGTCAGGGATCAGAGGTCATCCCTACAGGTCAGGTGGCCCAAGGTCCTCAGCCCCAAGGGTCAGAGGTCAGTCCACCAGGTCGCAGGTCACCAGGACTACAGAAGCACCTGCCGACCTGGGTAGAGGTCAAATGAGAACCAGGGCTCAGAGGTCAGGGGTCAGAGTACCTAGCTCTCAACCAAGAGGCCAAAGGTCAGGCAGGAATGCAATAAATGTAGATTCTGCTCCCCCAGCCACAGAGGAGAGGTCAGCCTTTTCTGCTGCTCAGAATAGTGTAGATGCACAATCTGGTAATGACGCCAATAGCAGTGCAGGAGGAAGTAGTAGAGTTCGAGCTGATGCAGCCACAGTTGAGAGGAGGAGAGGGAGTGGGAGCGGTATCCGACCAGTTGCCACCCGTAGGTCTAGCAGACTGCGCGGGCTAGAGGCCACGTCAGGCTCTCCTTCCGACCAACCTGTTACTAACGGCACCACTAGGAGTGGCTCCACTGGTGAGACAAGAGACCGAGTCGATGGCTCTTCAGTAACAGCAGGAAGCAACATTCCAACCGGAGGCCCACCTGTACAGCAAGTTGCACAGCAGGGTAACAGCAATGGCATCCAAGAGCAAGGGAACCAACAGGGCGGGAACATGGCTACCGGTACCCCCACCCCCCTGCTCAGTACGGGAAGGTTCAGCGCGTACTACGTGGGGAGGGCCAATCACTTTTATTCCGACCTGCTCAGCCTGACGCCGCAGCCCACACGTGACCGCGGGAACAGTGGGTACAACCTCCGCCGGAGATGGGCCACACGGAGCTCCACAGACACAGGTGCGTACTGGGCAGGAGTTCAGGGAATGTGAAATGCTTTAAGAAAAATTCTCATGAATAATGTGTTGCTAGGTTTAATGCCATTTATCTATCTACTTACAGCTAGACAATAAAGCCACCAAATGTTGACATAGAAAAGTGTTTGCCATGTCTATAGTTGATACTTTTTTGATAATGTATATCTGGAATCATTGTATATCTATGATTCAGTGTCAACCTTCTATGTTTTACTTGAAGGTGGATCAAATCAGCCTAGAAGTGCACCAGCGCCCCCTAGAAGTGCACCAGCGCCCCCTGTCAACTCACCGCCGCCTGGCAGGCTGCGGGAGGGCCCTGTCACCCGGAGCCAGTCTCGCCTGCGCCAGGCATCGCAGTCGCAGGGGACCGTGTGGCGTCAGGGTCGGTTCCGGATACGCCACCCCGGGCCGGTGGAACCCGGGCACGAGGAGGACAGCATGCAGCACGCCATGGACATGCTGACAGATCTCTCCTCACCAAACAACACACGCGACGAAGACACCCTGTCCGAGTCAAGCAATGGGTCGGACCGCAGCGGGATCCCCGGGGAGGCACTTCCCGAGAACTTCCTCGGGTTTGGGCCGGAGTTCTGGCAGGGGCGCCGACTGGTCAGCATCCGGTTCGTTCGCGACCACAGCATCCTCGACTACTTCCCCGCCACAGGGAACATGTACATCTCCTCGCTGGACGAGCCGCCGCGGGGACTCACCCCGCAGGAGATCGAGAACATCCCGTACCGGAATTTCGCCCGGAACGAGGAGGCAAAGACCTGCAGCATCTGTATCGTGAACTACAGGACTGGCAACCGCGTGAAAATGCTGCCGTGTGCACACGAGTTCCACGAGGCCTGCATCAAGCGCTGGCTGAGGGACCACGAGAACTGTCCCACTTGCAGGCAGCCAGTCAGGGAGGCTGACCGCGCAGCTGCTGCAGAGGCAGGTGCTGATGGTGATGATGCAGGTGCAGCCGCTGATCCAGGTGCTGCACCTGAAAACAACTCCACACCCGCAGATCCTCCTGCTACCAATGGAGCCAGGAACACCTAAAAAAACAATGTTGCAGGTGCTGATGGTGATGATGCAGGTGCTGCTGCTGATCCAGGTGCTGCACCTGAAAACAACTCCACACCTGCAGATCCTCCTGCTACTAATGGAGCCAGGAACACCTAAAAAAACAAATATTCCACACAACTTACCCATTTTAGAAATGAACCACTCCAGAGTTATGTGTGACTCTTGATAATATCCTGGTTGTGCCACCTCATAAATGGGGTGATATACTGATAGGGTCTTTCTATGACAGAAGGTGCTGATATGTAACCAGAGCTTTCAAACACATTTTCATTTGCCGTAAGACTACGAATATGTAAAGAATGGCTCAATAGCAAAGAAATTATGTACTCCTATACAGATGTTCATATTGGAGGTGGGCCATTCTGCTTTGCTGTTTTAGAGGCTGATGGAAATATTGATTGTGAAGATATTTAAGATATGCTACATGTACATTGCTGCATAGCTTCTCATTCTAACAGTTACAGTTATGTTGATTTAGAACCACTTGCTAAAAACATATGTGTCAAGGTCAAAAAGGCATTCAGTACAAGGAAGTGTACTTTTAAGGAGAGTACTTATTAAGACATTATCAGCATGCTATTGCCTTGCTAAAATGGTAATATTTTCTGCATATATCAATGTACATTTTGCTACTTGATGGCTAATTTACAGGTTGGAAGATTGCATGTTTTAAGTGCTGGTGTCAAGATCTTCATGATAAGTGGAAAACGGATAACTCTAACAGTTCATGAAATCAGTAAGGGCAAAGCTTATGACAATATGCACACAGGAACAAAAATAAAGCATATGGGAATTGTGAACATTTCTGGACTTTTTAAGGGTTTGATATTGATACCTTTATGATGTTATAACCCATATTTGTTACTCCTGCAGCTCATGTGATCTCATTGCAGTTAGGCCACACCAATTTAATTTCTTGGTTAACGGATTTTTCTAGGAAAATAATGGAGTGGGCGGGTGAAAAAATAAATAAATAAAAACAGGCCTAGGCATCCTATTATGCCCCAAAATGGTACGATAGGAGCCATGAAGTCAACACACCAGGCTGGTTCAAAATTTAAGCAATAAATTTTGAACTTTTAATGATACCACTGCATTGAAAGATGGAATAACTGTAACAAATAGGAAGAAAAGGACTGTTTTCAACTGTTCAGGGCAAAATAGCATTTTGCAGTTGATAATGAATTTTTAATTTTTTTGGCAAATCACAAAAAAATGAAGCGGGCGAATCCGTTAACCAAGAAATTGAATTTGTTAAACTGTATTGTATAAGTTGGATCACAAGTTGGATCACTGGACATTGCCAAAGTCCGGTGAAAATGAAAGAAAAAATATGACGCCTTCCTTATGACCCAATTTTGTTTCAAGACTGAAACAGGAAACACAACATTCTTTCCTGGGCCTTTACTCACATACAGAACTCCAAACAGTATATTTTTGTTGTGGTATAAACATGAAAGCTGCGGTGACGTGCAATACATGGGCATCGGAATAACTCCAGGGCTCGAAATTCATTTTTGGGAGTAGGTGCACTGGTACATACAACCTAAAAAATTAGGTGCACAAAAATTTTTGGGGGTGCACCACATAAAACAAAACCTACAAAATGTATGTACAGATCTTACTGCTCCTCTTCTGAGCTTGAGTCTGAAATGGGAGCTAACTTCAAAATCTTACACAAGTACTAGTACTACAACAAAGATTTTATTCTTTATCTGACACTTACATGCCAAGAATATCCTGTATACTATTAGACATTTGATATGCACAAAACACCTACAAAAATATTTGGGTGCACCCATAGAAAAAAATTGGGTGCACAGCTCCAATTTTGGGTGCGCTAAGGTGCACATGCGCCCAGTATTTCGAGCCCTGAACTCTCACAACATCCGTGTTACACATCGACAGTCGTGATACTAGTACTTATTATTATGAACCAAGGATGGGCGACATAAATGGACACCTGGGCGTTCGTACCTTCTTCTTCTTCTCCCTATGTGTGTCGGTATGTCTGACGATCCTGTTCATTCTGTTTACCAATCGGCTTTGGGAAACTACCGGGGCAATCAAGTTTCGGCTGGAGCCAGACCTGTCAACGGCGGATTTGACGGCAAGTGGTCGGGAGGAGGCGAGTTTGTCGCCGCTTGCCCCGGACCGAAAACTGACGACCACAACCTCGCCGCTGCCCGCAGAAGATGGGGAAAACGAATTGTTGCCTACCGGTCCGGACAGTCCTAGTCGAGAAGACGAAGCACCAGAGGCTCCAAAAGAGTCCTCGCGGCCATCGTACCTTTACCTACCCGCTTGTGATAGTTGCGGCCTGGGCACTACGATGTTTCAGTTCGCGTCCGCGTATGGCGTAGCGAAACGCAACAAGATGGGCTTACTACTCAGTCCTTCCTTTGGTTTATGGAAGGTTTTTGGCCAGCTCGAGTTCAACGGGACCATGTCAGAAGAAGCGGTGAAGTCGTCTGGATTTAAGCAGTTTGAGGACAAGAGGATACGGGTCTACAACCCCGAGTTAGAGACGCTACACACCGTGCAGCAGAACTGGACCCTCGGCACAAGCCGGCTCCAGTCTTGGAAGTATTTTCAGGACTACGCGAAGGACTTAGGAAGGCAGTTTACCTTTAGCGCAGGCTTGAGGCCTAAGGTGGAATCGTTCTTGACGCAAGCGGCAAAAGAAGGTAGGGACGTCGGTACAAACTCTTCTGTACTACCGGGGGCGTTTGTCGGCGTCCACGTCCGCAGAAAGGGGCTAACGGAGGGGTACGAACAACAACAGGGTGATCTACTGTCAGCGGAATGGTACCTGAAACAGGCTATGTCTTCTTACCGGAAGAAGTACACAAACGTAACGTTTATCGTCTGCAGCGACGCCGATACGGAGTGGTGCAAGTCGCACATAGCAGCGGAGAACAACGACGTGGTGTTTTCGGAAGGGCACACGGCGGTGGAAGATTTGGCCATCCTGGCCGCCTGCAATCATACCGTGATGACGCTAGGGGCGTTCGGGTGGTGGGGCGGATGGCTGGCCGGCGGAGAGGTTGTGTACTATAATGGCGGGTACATAAAGGCGGACATCATCATGGACGCACAGATGACAGGGGAAGACTACATGCTCCCCGAGTGGAAGGGAATGGGTTAAAGCGATGTTATGTAAGATTTTTAGTTGCGCCAAAACTATAAATATAAATAATTGAAATTTTCTCATCTAGAATGTCATTTTCAGTAAATTTCAACACATAAGCGCCGTTATTTCGCTTTTCCGGCGACTCGCGAGAATAAGTTGCCCCAGGCCCGCTGTATTTTTAGGAGGCTCCTAAAAAGAATGTTTTTCGAGTATCTTTGGCAGCTTCCAACAAGTTTTTGCGGCAGAACGACGCCAAGTGGCAAATGTCATTATGAACCCAGGTAGGCTTACAGCGAAAGAAAATGTGTAAAACAACGACGTTTAAAATAGTAGAAATCTTACATGATATCGCTTTAACGTGATCATTTCTCCTACAACTTTTCATCAAAATGTATACCTGCATAGCAGAATAGGACCTGACTGCCGACCGTATACTATTATAGTGGATAACAGTATTGCAATTGAATTGTGAATAACACTAAACTGTGCCTGATTTAGCGACAATATCGATGTTATAATTATTCCCTGATGTCCTAAAAGTGAGCGTTTTCAAAAACAGCCATGCTGTCAACATAATAAACCCGGATGTTGAATTCTATTCATGGGAAGGCGCGATGTTTATATTAGGCCACAGCAAGTAAAGTTTATGGATAACATTAAATCAGAATTGTAATTAAGGCTAACGTTACTAATGGTAATGCTGTCCGTGCCTAACCATAAGATACATTTGTAGCTTTCAAGGGATTTCAGAGATTGTTGAATATCAAATTGCTAAATACTAAAAATTCTCTCGGTTTAACCGATCGTAATATGATCATGACGAGTCATGACGAGTCATGCAGTTCGTCGGATACATGCATGGTAGCGCTTTTATTACAACAGCGACCTCGAAAGCGGTTTTTTTAAAGATGTTACATTGACTGTTACCGTGAAACTATGCAATCTTATTGTAACTGCTAGAGAATAACTGCTCTCCAAGCAGAGGGTTGGGTTTGGGCTTATTTTGGCTTGTTTTTAGGCTTTTTTTTGTCGGGCTTTCTTTTTTGCATTGGTATCGTTTTTACGCCAACCAACCGACACGCCAAAAGTACGCCAAAACCCAAGCCTCTGCTTGGAGAGTAAAGAATAACAGCTTCTGATATCTTAACATTTTTCGCTCATCACGTTTCCTTTTTAGCCTCCTTCGCAGTCTTGTTGGGCGTTGGCGTTATTTTTTCTCTGAGCGACGCGAGTAATATGCGGCCGCGAGGGACGATTTGCTGCCGAGGGAGTTTTTGCCACGGAGAGAAGGTTTCGCGCGAAACGTCGCTCATGGCGTCGCTCAGAGAAAAAATAACGCCAACGCCCAACAAGACTGCGAAGGAGGCTATTTCCTTTTGTTCACTAACCAGACTTCAGATGCGAGTAGTCAAACCGTTTGGCGTACAGTAAATAGGAGTGGGGGGCGGTGAAATCATATCACAAGGACTCGTGCTGCGCGTCTGGCTCCCATTTCCATTTCTTTCATATCAAAGCATACCCAGCGGGCCTGGCTGCCTTGCCCTCCGCGGTGCGGTCTTGACTCCACCGCCGCCTGACGTGTGTGCCGACTGCGGTTAGAGCCTGGGTGGGACGGGCGTCACTTTGAACTTGAAGCCTGACAGCTTTAATCGCCCAAATTCTGTCGTGGTAATCTAAAAATTGATGTTGGGAGGAAAGACCGCAATGCCCGTGACTGATCTCGTATAGAAGTTTTGATCGGTTGCCTGCAAAACGTTATAATCTTCCCTCCCATGTCTATCAATGGTCTTCAAGCAGATGTTGAGGGGACTGCCATGTCTTCGTCGATCTTTTTCCTGCGCCAGCTGCTATCTTGTATTTAACTTGAATAAAAGAAAACATATATTCGTCAGCTTATGTTCGTTGTGTCGGAGGAGTTATCTAGTTGTCTAGGGTATAGAGCGAGATCTGTGAAGTCAAAATCAAGGTCATGAGAACCTTGTAAAACCGGAACACGGAATTTCCATCAAGTTCCGACCAGTGAATATTGTAACAGATCCTCCCGAGTCAAGTTCATGTCAACTATTTCCATGTAGATTCGGATGTACCACCTGCTATGGGGGGGGGGTGCACATGCTGCTGGTTGACAGATTGGCTGGCTAGTTGTCAGTCTGTCTGTGTCTGTGTCTGTCTGTCCGTCTGCATGACTGGCTTGCTGGCTGTCTGCTGATTGGATGGCTGGCTTTCTGATTGGCTGGCTGGGTAGCTAACTTGGCTGGCTGATTGACTGGCTGATTGGCTGTCTGTCTGTCTACTGATTGGCTGGCGGTCTGGCTGCCTGGCTTCTGACTGGCTGATTGGCTGCCTGGCTTCTGACTGGCTGATTGGCTGTCTGTGTGGCTTGCTGGCAGGTTGGCTGGCTTGCGGTAGCTTGCGGTCTAGCTAGCCGGCTGGGTGGCTGGCGGTCTGACTGGCTTGGTGTCTGGTTGGCTAACTGACTGGCTGGCTGGCTAGCTGACTGACTGTCTTGCTGACTGGAATTAAGGAAAGAAAGGGACAGAGGATTTCAATATTCAAGGCTGTCTATCAATTTGTATTTCTCCAAACCCAGCCAGGCACAGATGCCGTACGGACGGTGACACAGTTTGTACAAGGCTTTGTTGCTCCATCGTCACTGGCGCTGAGACTATAACAAACAGGTCTGTGCTAATTAGCAGTGATAGAAAGGCAGCATATGTCTGTTCAGAGTAGGGAATAGCTGTACATGAACCGCCTCTGTAAGCTCAACCGAAGACTTGACTTATGCGGCATGACAGGTATACAGCGAACCGACCCTGATCTTGAGGTCACCTGGCGGTAAGAGCTATAAATACAGCCTGACGTGGTGACAGACCGTCGCCAACACAGTTCAGAACTGTGATCAGCCGGGCCTGAGAGTCGACGCCACAGGCACAGAACGTCCAAAAGAGACATTACTTTCTCCTGTGTACCAGGTTTGTAGTCTGATATGTTTTGTGAAGGGTTCTGATGGCGTCCACTTTAGTACAAGCAATGGTACATAATAATATGTGGTATGTAATGATACGAGTACAAGCATGTCCACGTAGAGTGCATTTGCTATCCGTTGCATTGTAGGCATACGAGCCCCGGTATGATACGAATGACAGAGAGAGGTTTGCTACCAGTGCTTTAAATATGTTTTTTTAGAATTCTTAACAGTCATGAACCCCAAAACATCTACAGCTCTATTGTTCCTGTCCATTCTATCCACAAGTATTCAAATAGATTTGCCAATTCTTGCAGTTTTAAACTGTTTCAAACCTAAACCAAAAACAAACAGCAAAAAGCGAACATTTCTCTATCGCGCCATTAATCTATGGAACACCCTGCCACCCAGTATCAAAACACTGACCAGTCTGCATCAATTCAAAAAGGCCATCCACCAGTTGTACATAAGTTAAGTTGTATATATTAAGTTAAGTTGTTTAACCTGTATATGATTCGTGATGATTATGTATGTTCATTCTCTTTTATTTTGTTGTCAGTATGTTCATTTGTTTATAAGTTTTGAACCCTGGACGATTAGTCGTCATGGACTAAAGGGTATCGAAATAAACGAATACGAACGAAAATCAACTTTACATTGGGAGACTTCGATATAGACCTTTTACAATAATCTTACACCTTACCTTTCGAAACCTCTTTTCTGAAGTTGTACAATTTACATGAATATGCAGACACATTTTATGACCTGATTTGGTCAGTACAATTGGGTAGAATAGAAAAAGCATTTACAACTAGAAAGGTACTATTTCCAAAGCAAATGCATAATGCTTACCTTCCCTGTCTTCCCATATACTAGTATGTTCTGTTAATTCTTACCCAAAACCAGGTATACACTGGGACACTCAAAACGGCATATTCATATATATATGTGGCCAGACAGGAGTCTAAATCCCTCCTGCTATAAAATTGCAACATGGTGTAACCCAACACTTGTTACCATGGCGACAGACGTCTGGTTCAGGTCATTGATCTCACTGGTTTGGAGAAGAAGAGGGAAAAGAGCAAAAACAATATTACGTTTTCCTTCGGTAAACATAACCTACAGGTGTGAATCTACAGGTGAACACTAGGCATTTCCTGTTATTTTGTCCCTGGTGAAGGTGAGGTCTTAAATTTCGCCCGTTGTAAGCACGCGAGACACAACAGAGTGTCAGTCATAGAAAAACATCAACAGACCGTGACTTGTGATGAAAAATAAGTAGTATGATACAGCATCCATTACTCAGTGCTGACTGAAACCAAATCTCGCCGCTTGTTCTCGCGAGAGCAGGCGTGACGACTGACGGACACCTGCACAAAGAAACTATTCCACGCGAGAATTCACATCTTTCATCATAAGTTCGTAATAGTAGATTTTTCGCAGACCGTGAACTCTTCGCTGTGTCAGAAAACAAGTCCTTAAACTAATAAAACGGATCATTAGTGTTTAAAAGTCTGTCGTATTCCTCTAGATCTACTCCCAGTTGTACAGTCTTTCACTAGAGAACAGTGAATGGCGGGCTAACTTCAGTATGGGTGGCATGATAAGGTAAGATGTTAATTTCTGCAGATTACGTGATAAAGTAAAGTGATCTGTACTTGCTTGGCCCTACTCTCCAAGCAGAGGTTGTGGGGGAATGATCGTTATATTTTTATATATGGCCGTTTTTTTGTCCTGACCCCCACCCGTCGGTGGCCGCGGAGCTTCTCTGGCTAATGGATACTGCCTGGCCAATTTGATACTGTCTTTTTGCCACCGCGAGGGATCTGCTTGGAGATTAGCTTGGCCCGGCTGAACAGGCCGGTAATAGATAGTAGATAGAAAGCGATCCTCGTCAGCTTAGATTTGGTAATTTTTGCAGATCTAACACATATTGTGGATGCTGACAAGTGGCCATTCCTCGTAGGCTAATTAATACTTTCATCATGTTTAACTGTTATTTATTTTCTTGCTATTTCACTTATTTCATTTCTTGTTTGTAAGGCGCGTAGTCAGATAGTGTTTTTTTTTATTCCAACATTTCATGACTAGACATGGTGACGGCACACTCAAGTTATATCAACTTATTTTATACCGTCACCAACGTAGAGGACGCGCAGAATACGGAACAGGACAATACTCATTTTCACTTGAGTCAAGTGAGGAAAGTCGTGTAAAATATACCTTTCCCAGGGGCACAAGATCGGTGGCATGTCAGGACTCGAACCCGGGACCTGAGGGTTCTGAGTCGAGTACTCTGCCGCTACGCCACACAACCCCACAATAGTGGTTCTAGTTCATTCCCCGCCATTTTCACTCTATAAGTTGCTTTCCTGTCATGTGCAGTTTCCCCTAACGGTCCAAAAAGAAACAAAAGTTAGACAAATGAAGACAAGATGATGCAAATTAGTCACAAAGCTCTTATTGTGCAGAACAGGAGCTTAAAAGTGTCGTCTGTCCTTGGGACTGGGAGCGCCAAATTGAAGTGCCTGAGAGATCTACACGTAGCCCCCCTTCCCTGTTGTCGCGGGTGGGGCTCTACACTCTTTCATATGAGAAAACTTAATTAATTCCTGACACAAGTTATTACTACATTGTATTAATAGAGTTAGATTAGTATAATTAGTGTCTCTCTTTTGTTATACATTGTTTATGAAGCAGACCAGATTCCTATTACAGTTAGTAGAACTGTTAGATATTCTCAACACCACCATATGTGTATGTTAACACCACAAACTATGTATGTATATTTTGCCATACGTTATACCTGCTACATCTGTTGCGCAATAAAGTTCTTCTTCTTATATTGCCTCTTTAACAACAGATTCTTTCCAAAGTGTCTGTCCTCTTTAATAGACAGGATATGTGGGTGTATCTGCAGTGTTTAGAATACATCCCAGGGCACAGCTTAGTCTAATAGAGACGTTTACATAAGGCACGAGTAGAGAGACGTGGGCGTCCCTTGCTAAGTTGTCAAGGTTTGTTCTACCCTCTGAGATGTAGTATACTTTACATATGTACTTTTAGTAAGGCCACAGCAAGTAATTTTCATGGATGACATCCTATGAGGACCCTGCCTCTAATCTACGTAATAAACTTAGCACAATATAGGCATTATTTCTTGTTCAACAAGGTTTATGATGTCAACATTTGAAAATATAGGAATCTTGTTTGTTTGTTTGTTTGTTTTTTTGGCCCGCCTTGTTTTTTTTTCGCCCTATCGCATTAGGTTTGGAGTCTGCGGAGGATATCATCCATAAAATTTACTTGCTGTGGCCTTACCAACGAACGCAGCGCCGCCCCCTCACCAATAATACCTGCGTTAACTCCTTCCTTTACCACATGAAGTCACGCAATGCATAACTTAGGCCACACCGTCTTAATTTTATGGATGACATCCCCGCGCGCATTGATTTTCGCCTGTTCTAAAAAAAAAAAGATCACGTCCACCAAGGCTCTGGCCTGGCTCTAGGCCTGGGTAGTCCATGATATTTAGCGACAATACGGATCCGGGCACCCAGGCTACGGAAGCTCCACGACTCAAGAACTCTAATTACGTACAGTGCCGATTCATAAATTCCGCAAAAAGCCGGCTTATCGTATACGTCGCTATATACTGCCGCAAATTCACAATACCAGCTTTGTATTCCTGTGGTTTAGTAGCATTTTTATTTTTGGCCAGATTTTTCTTTTATTCGCCCGCGCGCACTAGTTTGGGGGTCTTCAGAGGATGTCATCCATAAAATTAAGACGGTGTGGCCTTACCATACCGTGTCGAATGAGGTGTATTTCGCTCCCCCACAGCCTTACATGCTAGTACGTAGATCAGAGGCACAAGGCGAAGTTGCAACACTATCCTTGGAAGGTAGGACAGCTTGCACTATCTCTCACAGCTTGAGCATTGAACGAAACGGGTGCTAAAGGTTTTCACTGTGGTAGTTTTGTTCGAGTCCCTTTTAGTCTCGACGTACGTGTGTGTTTTTCTGGAAATGTTTATTTGTTCTCAGTAAACGAGCATGCCTGCTATAAAACAAGTGAATACGTGATTATACGTGAACGTCGTTCCTTTTGACACTCAGTTTTTAGTGTATTGAAGTTCGCATCCGGTGCTTTTGAGTCTTCAGAAACCTTAGAGCGTTTGACGGGGACTTAGAAGTTCTGTCTGGTTTAGACTACTGTACAGATAAGAGTAACAGGAAAGGGTCTGTAGAAATAATTAGACGTTTTTGGCACGAGCCACTCCATTTGCTTCCTCGACAACGACGTTCAATGATTTACAGATCTACTGAAAACAATCTCAGTCGTTGTCTCACGTTTGTGCTTAGTTATGAGCGGTGGTGGTGACCGAGTTACATTTGTGCCTGTTGCAAGAGACGGCAAGTCAAACCATGAGGCCATTTTGATTTGATTATATGGATGACATCCACCCGCGCATGAATTTTTGTGCGTTTCCAAAAAAGAGTTTCTGAACAATACTGTAAAATCGTACAAAGTACTAGTAGCTGCAAAATACACCGTAAATTGAAAAAAAAATATTGGAAAACGATACTTATGTCGCATGAATCTATTATTCACCACACCTACAAAATATTACTCTGTGTGTTTAGTCATTTGTTCAACCTTCGTGACCACGCAGATTTCATAATGAAAGAAACTTTTTTTGCCAAACTTTTTTTTATTCGCACGCTCGCATCAGTTTTGGGTTTCCCAGGGGATGTCATCCATATAATCAAATCAACATGGCCTTATTGTTCTAACAGACACCATACCGACATTGTTATCTACCGCCTAAGTAAGCGTTTTCTCATTTGCACTATTCACACGCACGCCTGTGTATTTTTGTAGACACAGTTTTGTGTAAAACTATCCACGGTTTGAGGTGTTTGAAGACTGGCCGTGTAGCGGCTTGGGTAGCGGAACAAGATGCTATATTGCTTTTAGGCCATGTTGATTTGATTATATGGATGACATCCTCCGGGAGCCCCAAAACTGATGCGCGCGTGCGAATAAAAAAAAGTTTTGTCAAAAAAAGTTAACTTTTCTATTATGAAT